TTTTAAAGTCTTTGCACTCTCATTTCTGAATCTAAGTCATATTTTAGGAAAATCTCCTATAATATAATTGGATTTCATTTTTTAAATTGTGACCAAACAATCCCAGGCATTTAACTGGAGGCCTTAGTCTACTTCTGCTTAATGTGATTATTTCTAATGTTTTTCTTTCAGCTTTCTAAAGTTGCCCTTATGCTTCTTTGACTTATTTTCCAGTTGTCAGATATATTTATATGTTGTCCTTTGTTTTTGTTTTTCTACTACAGTTTACAAGTTAATCGTTCAATTTCTAAGAAACTTGGGTGGAACAAACAGTTCTAAGCACTTGGCTGCTAAGTAAAAGGTTAGACGTTTGAAAATGGAACAAAAAACTCTCTAGGGCAGTGGTTCTCAACCTTCCTGAAGCCGCGACCCTTTCAAACACTTCCTCAGGTTGTGGTGATCCAGTCTGGGGCGTGTCTGCATGTGGGCGGACCCGCCTGGAGACTGAGAGAGGAGTGGTGTCTTGGTTCCTAAGACCATCAGAATATGGTCTTAGGTGACCCCTGTGAAAGGATCCTTTGACCTCCAAGGGGGTCGCGCCCCCCAGGTTGAGAACCCCTGCTCTAGGAAAGTTCTGCTTTATTACATGGAGTAGATATGTTATTGATACCACTCACACACTATAGCATTATATTTTTAGAAATATTTCTAATCTCTATTGGGAATTATTTGTTAAAATACTCTGAGAATACTTGTGTGAAATTTATTACTGAGCAGTATTTTATTTCCCTCTTACTTTAAAACTCACAAATCAATGGGTTATTTTTATTTTACCATAAGATCAACGCTTGCTTAATTTAACATTGGTATATAACCATCCTTTTTGGCTTAATATTCCTTTTTGAATCTTCAGCTGTACTTGAATTTTCTTCTTCTTTAAGTACTTAATAAAAATTTTCTCTCATTAATGGTCTATTCATTATATACTCTTTCATTTTTTTGTTTTATAAAAATTATTTTATTTCACTTTATTAAAATATAATTTACATATACATAAAAGTTATCAATAATGGTAAATTAACCAAATAATAATTAAGACAGAAAAGTCTAGGTAAGATTTGCAGTTTTACTTTCTTTAAGCAAGAGTTTGAACACCTAAATTGTTTTAGAGCCCTAGATAATTAACATGGTGACTGGTTTCTATGATTGCTTTTGAATTTTGCTCTGTTAAGGGTATTATTAGAGTGGCCGTGAGAGGAAGACTCTCTAAGAGGTAGAGTGACACCGTGGCTACAACAATGGGCTGAGGAACAATTGTGAGGAAGGGACACAGCCGGGCAGTATTTCATTTTGTTGTGCTTAAGGTCACCATGGGAAAGAAGCAATTTGATGGCAACTAACACAAACAATAAGATAATTCTATTTATAAGGTGGAATACAGAGGGCGAATAATATGTGCTTTTCTATTCTTCTCTTTCTTCCTTAAAGCTATTTGAATATATTTATTAAAAGAAAAATAAACCTTATTATGAAGTAATTTTGATCCTTCCATCCAATTCCTAATAAAATTATTTGATTAATTTTTCCCTTTAAATCTCCTTCAGACATAAAATTGACATGCAGAGCAAAAACAAATAGAGTAATATTCTAGGTTGGACCCCAGAACCTTAAAAATATAGATATTGGGCTCAAATGATATTTTAGAATATAAACAAACAAAAAGGAACACCACCATCGAGTAAATTCCAATTCATAGTGACCCTGGAGAACAGAGCAGAAAGGGACCCTTGGGTTTTACACGCTGCAAATCTTGACAGGAGCATGTAGCCCCATCTTTCTCTCCTGGAGCAGCGAGTGGACTCTCAAAGTTAACCTTGTGGTTGCCAAGCCAACTCACAGCCCCTTAGGACATAGCCCTGATTATTTTTCTTTCTCTTATGTTTGGTTTTAGAGGGTGTATTTTTCTTTTCACTCTCAAACTGTGTTTTACTCATTTTGTAGAGCTTTCTTAAGGAGACTAGCATCAAAGGAGCCTGACAAGCCCAATTTATCAATGTCAAAAGAATTATCCCTCCAAAGATGATCAAACAAATCTAGCTTTCAAAAAAAATCAGAATTATGTGAAGCTCAGATGATCTAAATTTCACAGAAAATTATTTTTTGCTCAATTCATAAACATTAATGAGGCTTTCCATCTTCACACAAATGGTAAGTCAAAATGATTTAATGTTTTACTGAGAACATTAGTGCTATAGAGTATAAATTGATCTTGAGCCAATCAACAACCTATTGGAATCCAACAGATTCTCCAAGATTTTCTCAATATGTGAAAAATGAATGCATTTTTTAAAATAGTAAAATTCATATCCTGAACAGAAAGCAAATTGCTTTATCTAGATTTTGTTTTGCCTACCAGTTCTTTGAGATGGCAATTATATATAACATGAGTTTACAATGGTCATTATAACTCTGAATTAACTTGATGGCAGTGAGTTTGTTTTTACTTTTGCTTTCTGGAGTTTTAGTTAGCTTACATAAACATATATTGATGCTCAAAGGATGAGTCAAAATAACTCTAACTTCCATTGAATGTTCTTTTTTAGAAAGGCTGAAAGAAGTGTGACATATTTATGGAAAAATTACTGTACATCAATGGAATGTATCACCATTTTAGATTAATTATAAATTAATAAAATTTAATTCTAAATTAATTACGAGAGTAAATAACTGCAAACCTCTATTAACAATCAGATTATGGACTGTATGAAGTATGAAGTATGAATCTGAGAAAATTGGAAGTCATCAAAAATGAAATTGAATGCATATGATTGATATCCTAGGTATTATGATCTGAAATGGCCAATTTGAATTGAGAAAATATGGTTTAGTATGCTGAAAATGTCTAATTCGGAGGCAATGGCATCACATTCATCAATAAAAAGAACATTTCAAGGCCTATATTGAAGTATCAGGAGGTTGTGTGTGTTATCATAATATCCATGTGCCTACAAGTAAGACCAATTAATACAATTATTAACATGTATGCAGCAGCCAATAAAACCAGGGTTAGAGAAGTTGAAGAAGCCTACAAACCTCTTCAATTTGAAATCAATTAAACAGGAGGTCAAAATGCACGGATAATTGCTGGCATTTGGAGTGTGTCTTTCAGCAAGGAAGACTGCGCCAGCTGCAAATCCAGGGCTGTTAATAAGTCTTCTGCTTCTGAGGCTGCATTCTTCTTCATATAGTCCAGATTCTCTGATTATTTGGTCAACATCGATACTGAACAAGTGTGGTGATAAAAATGCAACCCTTGTACACACCTTTCCAGGTTTTAAACAATGCAGGATCCCGTTCTGTTTGAACAACTGCCTCTTGCTGTGTGCACAGTCTCCGTTTGTGCACACTGAAGCGTGCTGGGATTCTCAGTCTCCTCAATGCTATCTATAGTGTGCTATGATCCACATCATCAGAAGTGTATTTCATGACATACCTTGACATTTTCTCCTTTTAGTATTAGTTGGGATTTAATACATATATCATATCATTTCATATACTGAAATTTTCTTTTTGATGATGAACATCATGATCTCTCTTGAATTTGTCATTCCCAGCATGGTAAATGATATAATTACCTGATTCAAAAAGGTGTCTACCAGTGAATTTCAGCTTACTAATACCTAGAATATAAATCTTTATACATTCCACCTAATGTCTGACAATTCCAAAGTTTCCTAGAGTTATACTTCATTCTAATTATTAATGGCTGCAGCAATAGGCTCAAATACATGAACAACTGTGAGGATGTTGTAGGACAGGGCAGTGTTTCCTTCTGATGTGCATAAGGTAACGATGGTCAGAACAGACTCAATGGCACCTATCAAAAAATACCGCAATGGCTGATGGATGTTCTGAGCTATTTCTTGTCTTTTGGAGCCCTGCCCCACCAGCACATGACGGTCCTGAAATGGTTCCACCACCTTGATCCCTAAGGTTGACTCTCAGAAAGCAGCATGTCCCAGGCATATTTTGAGTGCCTTCCATCCCAGGGAGTGCCTTTCCTGGCCCTGTGCTGACCATGTCCTGTTGCTGCTCACAGGCTTTCAGTGGGCAAGCTCTCAGAAGGAGAACGCCTCGCTCTAGCTTGTTCTTAGTCTGGGAGCTCTACTGAAAGCTGTTCACTAGGGGCCTGCTGGTATTTGAAATATTGGTGGCATTTTTTCTGGCATCACAGAAAACCACAAATCATCTCAGTACAACACACTGACAAACGAGGGCATTTTAATACATGATCACTTAATCTGAGTAAGGACACACAAAGACATGATTCCATTAACTGGATAACTCATCGTCAAATTAGATCCTAGATGTTAGATCTCTCTGGAGCTAGATCTATACCTCGGTCCTTGACTCCGGGCAAGAAAGAATTCATGCCGAAGCCTGGTTCGTGAACCAAGTGAGTTTTATGAGAGTTAAGAAGAAGTTTCAGGTTTACACGGCACCCATAAGACTCCTCCCGAACATGCAGCCTGGCTGGAAGCTGCTCAGTGGCACGCAAAAAGAGTCCCAAAGTTCCTCCAAAGTTCTGCCAAAGTTCACCCCTGCTTGACTCTGGGCTCCTGCCTTTTCAGGGATTCCACAGGGAGGCGTGGTGGACAACCCCTGATTGACCCCATTGGCTGAATTGAATTCACCTGGCCTAGGTGAGCCAATTCAGGTTCAGCGCGATCGACCCCATTGGCTGAATTGAATTCACTTGGCCTCGGTGGGCCAATTCAGGTTCAGCGCCCACCCATGCCTACCGGAGGGAAACCTGAGCCTCTGAGCATGTGCAGTGTAGTGCCACTCCTTTGTTCCCGTAGCTTGGCCCTCTGGGCATGCGTTAACGGACATTCCCCAGCCCTAAACTAGCCTACCTAACATAGACTCCCATCTTCATTCCTTTTTGTAATCTGTTGGATTTCTGGGAAAGTCTGTTAGTTAAAACAAAACAAAACAACCTTTGATATGCCTCTTCACAGAAAGAGACGACGAAAACTGCTGCGCAACGAGTTAGAGGTTACAATGTGGAGGTTCCTGTTGCTGATATCCCTCCGCCATCCCTGTCGTCAGCTTTGAAGAATAACCCACTATATGGTGATGTGAGTTTGGAGGAAGCGATGGAAGATAGGAAAAATAATCCTTCGTGGACCGTTGAGGACTACGACAGGCGTTCTCTGCATACCAATCTCTCGGGCCATCTGAAGGTACTAAGGGCTAAAACCTCACTTCCTTGACTTGAAGACATCGATCACTTGACCGTGAAAAAAAACAAACAAAAAGCCAACATTAGGATGGTGGCTGCCTGCATAAATCAGGCTCTCTTCTCAGGTCACAGAACCTGCGGACTTCATGACATTTTGACCATTGACTTCCCTGCCAATCTCATTGTCAAAGTATTTTTATTTGTTTGTTTTGAGTTGTATAATTTCAACATCTACAAGCATTTGGTATGGTAGAGAGGGGAAGAAATGATGTGGCACGGAAGGAAGGTTTTTAAGTTTCATGAAAAGTAATTTGCAAGATTGCTTGTATTTTCCCTAGTTTTATGTGCATTAGGAGATAATTGTTTATTGCATAATTATTAAAACTATTCATTGATTGCTGTCTTAGGTACTGTCCTCATATAAGGCAGCTCTCATGAAATATTTTATTTTAAGCACAATCAGTGATTTAAGAGCATGCATTTGTATTTTGGGCATTTTCCTGTGTCTCAGTAACAAAACAAAACAAAAACATTTCAACATAAGAAAAATATGCAATGAGCTCATTCGCCCAGCTTAAACCCAGCTATTCCTCTCCCCTCCTCCTTCATCCCGCTGGTGTTTATCCATCACATAGAAAAGCCGGAAATACCTGAAGAGCAGAGAAAGAGGCTCTCAGCTTTCTGACTGGTCTGGTTTCCCACCCAGCTTTGACTTGCCTCTGCCTGCACCAGGTCCAGGGATGCCTGCCGTGACCCAGTGCTCTTCATTTACAAATTTATGCATATCCCAAACCCAACAATTTTTGTTTTTGTTTTGTGGAAGGGACAAACAGTATGCCCCTTAAGATCCTACACACATTTCTTAGATCTCAAATTACACTCTCTGAAAGACCTTGTTTTCTAGAATCGTGTACTTTCTAATGCTCCCACAGATTTAATGCATGTCTGTCCCCTATATAAAGGATAATTCTGTGATTTTTTTTAGCAACTTTCTTAAGATCCAGAGTGCAAATAAGTCATTTTCTACTATTACCAAAAACATGCATCAATTAATTATGCTGACGTTTCTTGGCCATATCTTAGCTCCCCCCCCCTTTTTTCCCTTAGCTAATGACATGCATGAAAAGGGGGCTATTGAGATAAATATTACTGTCATCACCCTCATAAAGTTCATTCAACTGAGCAAGTAAATTAACCATGTGCAAGAGAGAACCAGATGACTATAATTGCATATTGCGCTAAGAAGACTCAGAAGGAGACACAAATCGCATCGGATTAGAAAAAGCAAATCGTTGCTAGGTGAGACTGCTGTGCAGAACTGCACGGCTGGAGGTGGTTTGTGGGAGTGGGGATGCAGCAACAGGAGCGAGGAGGAGCCCTGTCAAAGGCACAGGTACAGGAAAGTCAAAGTAACAGGCAGGTCCTGTTTCATTTAAACAATAGTCTAATAGGATAATGGGAAATTAAGACTAGAAATAAAAAGAGAACAGCTAACAGAATTAATTTTACCTCACAAATTGTACAGCATTGACAATAAGAAGTTTTACTAAGTTGAACAAGCATGGGATTTATGCTTAGAAAGTTATGCTTACACATGAACAAGTACCAGTATGATGGGCACATAGTTTTGCTACACTCCCTCGGCTCAGCCCCACCCACTCATCTTAAAGCAGGGAGCCCTCACGTGTGACACCAGGTCATAAAAACCCATAATAGCCCTGGTTTGCTTGAGGGTATCATGCAGAAGCCGTGACGTTTATTTTCACCAGAATTTCTTCCTCTGCATCGCTGATTCAACTTCTTTTATTGACATCTTAATCCTCACAGCATACATACTTGGACTCTTAATTTATGTTCTGAATCCTACATATCACTTACGGATCCCTGATGGGTTAATGGCTATGCATTGGGCTGCAATCCTCACGGTCAGCAGTTCAAAACCACCACCACTATCAACTCTGCAAGACACAGGCTGGGGTTTCTACTTCCGTAAACAGTGGCAGCCTTAGAAAGCCACAGGAGGTCACTATGAATCAGCATTGGTGGCAGTGAATTTGAGTGCTTCCTGGGGTCTCTGGCCACTCCCATCTTTCAAATGCTTATATGGATAAATTAATTCTATGGAAGTTCTGTCACTATTATCCAACATTAAGAATTACTAAGAACTTATAAAGCAGAGAAGAGAGAGAAAAAAAGCCTCTATGTAATTGGGAAGGAAAGCTGTAAGCAGAATGTATGAAGAGATCATCTCTATTAAAGAAATCCTTTCTGGGGAATAAGAACTGATAGGGGATGGATAGCTTGAGTCCTTTCTTCAGGTCAGACAAGTCCAAGGTCTCTGGGCCCTGACTCTTGGCGCACAAGCTGTAGTTCTCTTTAAGGAAGACCACAGGCTGAGGATTCCTGTTAGTCTTACTCCTTCCACTTAGTCAGTTTCTGAGTTTATGGGAAAAACCTCAGCCAACAAATCTATCCATATCATGCAGACAAAAACAGCCAAGGCCCACCCAACATAGATCATTGTCCTTTCCTATCAATGCACTAACCTGATTGCGAGGAGCCCTGGTGGTGTCCTAGGTACACATTCAGCTGCAAACCACATGGTCAACAGATTGAAACCACCAGCTGCTTCCTGGGAGAAAGATGAGACTTTTTACTTCCACAAAGAGTTAGAGCCTTGGAAACCCACAGGGGCAGTTCTACTCTGCCCTCCCTGGCTGCTCAATAGCAGTGAGTACATCACCAGATTGACATGCACGATTTATGAGACAAAGATCCCTGAGGACGAGATGGCGAGCTGCAAGGTAGGTGGTTCAAATCTACCAAACGCTCCATGAGGGGGAAAAAAGTATCTGCTCTAGTAAAGATTTACAGCCTCAGAAATCGTAAGTGGTTTCTCTGAGTCAACCTTGACCAGAAGGCAGTTGGGTTGGGCTATTTATATGATGGAAGTGACAATGACCGGGGTTCAACATTATGGAAACACTGCTTTGGTTTCTGACTCTCTAAACTGAACAATTTAAGCACTCCATTGAACTCTAACGAACTGTCTGAAAAACCTCCAGATTGAAGCTGCTGAGATTCCTAGACAGTGTGAGACGTTTGTTACCTGTTTGTGCTAATCAAGGAAAATGGGATTCATTGATTTGAGCTCCTGCTCTTAAATATCATGCCAGTTTAAAAGCAAAACAGCAGCAGCACATGCTCGAACACAAAACCCAGTTGCCACGGAGTCCATTTTGACTTCGGTGACCTCCTGTGTGTCAGAGTATGACTGTGCTTTATCAGGTTTTCAAAGGCTGATTTGTTAGATGCAGATCACCGGGCCTTTGCTCCAACATGCCCCTAAGTTGCCTGGATCCTGTCCTACCTTTCAGTTAGCAGCCAAGTGTGTTAACCATTTACGTTACACAGAGACTCCAAGCCTTACCTTGAAAAGTATACATAGGAGCTTCGTTATTGCTGATGGTGTATTGTTCCACAATCTTAATAATACGGCTGATTAATTGATTGTCCTCTGCATCTTTAGGAAAATCCTAATGACCTGCGGTTTTGGTTGGGAGACATGTACACGCCCGGGTTTGACGCCTTGTTGAAAAAAGAAGAGAAACAAGAGAAGCACTCGAAATACTTGCGCATAGGTCTGCTCTTGCTCCTTGCTGCCTGCATCTTGGTTTCCATAGTGACGATCAGTACTTTTTTCACCTAAGGAAATTACCACAGCCACATTATGTTTCTTAAAATCTTTCTAAATAAACGTTTTCAGAAAAACCTGTCCATGCAGTGCGCATTGCCTTCATGACCGTGCAAATCGCTGTAACTGCAACTTTAGCATATATCAAGTGGAAGTGTCTGAGATAGGTGACGTTCTCTACTTTGCTCTAGGAAAACCTTATGAGAATTCTAGAGGAAGCCTTGTCCTTCAGAAAGTAGGAATTCTGGGGAATGCAACCACAGAAAAGTCAATATAGACAAGCAAAGAGAAATATTTTGAGAAGACCAGCACAGCATCAACAACGGTCAGTAGTTAGCAAACTAAATCCATCTTGTTTTTAAAACACAGTGATCTCCCCTCCAGCCATGAGGAAAGTAACAGATCACTCTCTGGCCAACTGCCAGAGTCACAGGATAAGAGCTTTTGGTCGTGCTGCCAATTGGCTCCCATTCTCTCCCTGGTCTACCTTCTTTTATCTCGATGAAACCAGAAGAGAGAAAGAAAGAGAGAGAGAGAGAGAGAGAAAGTAAAGGGAAAAAGGGGGTGGTGCTGAAGGAGACTTTATTCAAATCTATTCTTATTTTCTCAGTAATCCTTTTAATGCTTCAATGTCATGTTGCACTTTCAGTGGAACTAAACTTGGACAGGGTATAGTTATATAATTAATTATGTTCATCCATTTGGTTAATGTACCCCCAGTTGCACTCAGTAACCACACACTGGCAGACATGTCCTGGGGGAAAATGCAAACCAAACATGCTGCACGGAGTTGATCTCCACTAGAAAAGAAGAAATACTGCACAGGGAGCAACGATTGAATCCCCTTTGTGCCATCTGTTAACTATCGGACCCTGGAAAAGTTAATTCTAAGACATGGAGTAATTCCAACTACTCTAGTGTTACTGTTACTAAGTAACTTCCAGTTGGCTCTGACTCATTCAACGTCATGGCAGACCTTCCATATTCATATGAATGAGACAACTGAAAACCCCATTGCTTGGCTCAGGCCTATATTTGACCTCATAGTGACCTCTTTGCTCTTTAATGCTGTCAGAGGTCTTGTGCCGCAGGTTCGGCTAATGCAATATGACATTTCCATCTTGACTGCTGCTTCCATTGGCATTGATTAGAAATCCAAGTAAAACAAATCCTTGACAAGGTCAATAATTTTTCCATTTATCACAATACTGCTCTTTGGTTCAGTTGTATTTTCTTCATAGTGATGTGCGACCTGCCTGGATGGCACAGTGGTTAAGCTCTCAGTTTTTAAACCAACAGGTTGGCAGTTTAAATCTACTGGTTGCTTGTTAGGAGAAAGATAGATGTGGTTCTGTTTCTGTGAAGATCTACAGCCTGCAAAGCCTTTGGGACAGTTGTGCTCCATCTCAGAGTGTCTCTATAAGTCCTAATCAACTCGACGCCTGTGATGGGTGTGAGTGTTGCTGTTTGTATCTTGAGGTGTAATTCATGCTGTTGTTGTTGGGTGCCATCCAGTCAGCTCCGACTCAGAGTGACCCAATGTTCAACAGAATGAAATACTGCCCCGTCCTGCAATCTTCTCACAATGGTTCTTAGGTGTGATTCCATCAATGCAGCTACTGTGTCAATCCACCTGGTCAAGGTCTTCCTCATTCTTGCTGCCCCTTCTCCAGAGACTGGTCTGTCCTGCCAACATATCCAAAGTATATGGAACAAAGACTCGCCATCCTTGCTTCCAAGGAGCATTCTGGCTGTACTTCTTTTT